AAGAACACTCTAGCGATCAGTACTCTTAATTCACTGAATGATGAGAGCCCATCCATGGAAGCCTGTGAGCAGAGGCTGGGTGGCTCACTGTTAGAATCTTGCAATGAGCAAGAATCTGTGCTCAAGGTCCACTCAGGTTCCTTAGAGTTCTAAACTTCTGGGATGGACAAGTGTTCACAATGAGGACCTCAGAAATTGTACAGTACCAAAATCCTACTGCAACCTAAGGAAAGGATTCTACAATTCCATATCCTGAGAGTGGTGGCGGTGCCACAAACCTGTGCGTGGGATAAAACTGCAGAGAACACGCACACAAATGCATGTAAGAACTGGTTGAATCTGAATAAGGCGTGCAATCTAGTTAACAGTATCGTACCGCTGTCAACCTCCTGGTTTTGAAACTGTATACAACAGTGTGATTGGGAATGGATTCCCAATCCCCTGGGGATATTTGGCAACGTCTGGAGACATTTTTGGTTGTGACAACTGGGGGGAGGGAGCTACTGGCATCCAATTTCAAGGCCAGGGACACTGCTAAACATCCTACGATGCACAGGAGGGCAGCCCCCTTCCACCTCTGTTGGCTCAAGCACACACACACACACACACACACACACACACACACACACACAAACACACAGCTGGCCCAAAACATCAATCCTTCCAAGGCTGAAATATCTTGTACTAAAATCATCTAAGAGGTTGTCATTGGGGGGAGCTGGATAAAGGGTACATGTGGCCTCACTGTGCTTTTTGCAATTTCCTTTGAGTTTATAATCATTTCAAAATAAAAACTTAAATAAATGTTTTTAAAGATTCCATCCTCTTTAGCATATTAGGGCTCTACTTCTCTGGATATCTGTCAGCCACTCATGGAAAATGCAACACTCTCAATTAGCCAAAGGGTTCAGTTCTCCAAGAATCTCCATGAATGTTAGCATGTGACACCCATTGAGCATTTCTGTGGTGGCATGAAAGAACAGCCAAAGGTCGAAGCCAGAACCCACACCAAGATCAAATCCCCAGTGCCCTTGGCTCCTTGTATAAACCCTCCTACATGGTGAAGAGAGGGCTCCCTCCTCGGGCCTGCCAAAAATATTTTATCATCTGCAAAGATAAAGCACATATAGACTTTTAATTAGTTATATATGCTTTTATACTTATGCATCTCTAAATTGAGCCCCTCACTCCCACCTCAGTGCCTGGCACACAGCATTGCATCATCTATCCAGTGAAGCGAAGTACAGAAGTTTGCATTAAACACTCCAGGCCACAGTCCAATGTTCCTTCCTCTGTAAGCGCCTTCCTAAGATATTCCAAAACAACCCAGTGCGGAGATAAGTGCTTCTATTACACCATGAGCAGCATACAGATCAAGCTGCTACTCAAAGTGGAAAACAATAATTTTCTCCTAGCGTAGCTGAACCGCACAAAACTGACGATGACCCCCCTAATCAAGTTCACACTTAAATCAGTCTTCCCACTTTGGTCCAGGGCAGAGGATTCTGTTGAGCAAACACCGAAATAAAAAAGGACAGGAGTTAAAAATACGACATAAAGGCCGGGCGAGGTGGCTCAAGCCTGTAATCCCAGCACTTTGGGAGGCTTAGGCAGGTGGATCATGAGGTCAGGAGATCGAGACCATCCTGGTCAACATGGTGAAACCCCGTCTCTACTAAAAATACAAAAAATTAGCTGGCCATGGTGGCGCGTGCCTGTAATCCCAGCTACTCGGGAGGCTGAGGCAGGAGAATTGCCTGAACCCAGGAGGCGGAGGTTGTGGTGAGCCGAGATTGCGCCATTGCACTCCAGCCTGGGTCACAAGAACGAAACTCCGTCTCAAAAAAAAAAAAAAAATACGAGATAAATGTCACACTTGTCTTGCCATGGTTGGGGAGAGCTCTCAAAAAGCCCCACAGAATTCATTAGAAACAAGCCTGACATGGTAGCAGGCCCAGAGGCAGCTGCCCCAACAGGCCTCTGACCCAAATCTCTGTTCCGAAGACCTGTTTTCAGTCTGGGGCTTGGAGATCCCGGTGGGTACCAGGACCACCCTGAGCTTGGCAATATTTCCTGCTGGAGCAGAGGCTAGGTGCCGAATAAACAGGCTCCCCCATGGCCTGTCTCCACCTGCAAGATGGCCTTCCGAAAGCAAACAAGCTTTTTCTTGCAAATTCAGGTTGCGTTCTGATTTCTCCTCCAGAGACCCCATTCCGAGGGTGGCAAGAGGTTTTTCTCCAAGGCCTAAAGAGAGTCACCTCCCATGTAACCCCTGAGTCTACAGACGTATTCGTCTGTGGACACTGCTCGAGCCAGGCTGTGACTTTCTGAGCTGTTTTCTGTAGGAAAAGAAACCTACCTACCTCAGGAATGACATGCAGGAGTCCCCAGGACAATAAAGCTGACTGACTTGTCAGGTCTTAAACGTCACCTTTCCGGGGAAGCATTGCCCCAGCCCCCCAAATTCAGTGAGCTCCCCCAGCTTATTTGTTTGCTTAACACCCCACAATTCTGTGCAACCCTCAGCACAACTGCGATCACTTTCCCAGAGTTCCCAGCTGAGTTCCATGGCGGGGTCACCTTCCCAGAGTTCCCAGCTGAGTTCCATGGCGGGGAGGGGGAAGAGACCTCTCCTGCTCTCTCCACCCCTAGAATCTCACCCAGCACTGGTACTCAGCAGATTCTGGGTAACGGCCTGTGGAATGAATGAAAGGTTCACAGGAAGACTAGCACATAAGCTGGCAGGCACACTGGAAGCTTCCATTAAGAGATTTCTACAGCGATTGACAAAGCAAAGTGAGTGGCAGGTGCCAGTCTTCCTATTTGCAAGTGATGATGAAGTTAAAGCTCACAAAGCTGAGCCATGATCCCAGATCCCTGAATTGATGAGCCCTAGACATGGGGGTTAGGTCCAGTCTTCAGACTCCCAGTCTGGAGCTCCTGCTACTTCCCACTTGGCACCACCCGCAGGGACTACAGAACCCAACATACATGTCTCCTGCCTACCCCACCCCACCATGCCCAGGATGGAGCTAAGCACATAGCGGCCACTACAAAAACTAGAATGCAGGTGGATTTGATTCCAACTACCAAACCAAAAAGGCCCTAAGTTAGAAAGACAGGAGCAAGGCTTTTAAACCTCCCAAGCCAGCAAACGACACTGAGCAAGTCACTTAAACTGTCTGAGAGCCACTGAAAGGATTAAATGAGACAGTGGCACAGAAAGCTTCTAATGGAGTCACAGTCGACATTCAGCAAATACAAGTCTCTCCCCACTCCTAACCCTGTTACTAAGCCACTGTGGCTCTTACACATCTGAATTCCCACAGCTCTCCCTGAAACACTGGAAATTCTGGATGGCTGTGTTCAGGGCTGTCACACAACTCAGAAATGCCTGCCCATTCAAAGTTGGCCACAAATGGAAGCACGCAGGGCCTCTGCAAAGCGCGGTGCCCAGATGGGTCCACCCTTTCAGGAGTTCTGTGTCCTCACCCCTCCTCCACTTTCCCATTGCCCTGGCTGCAGACTTTCATGAGCAGTTTAAGCAAACAATGACGATGCCTTCCCTACCCAGAGCCCTGTAACGGTGGCACCCGCACGCATCTCCTTTCAGGAAGGGCCATTGTAAGGCCAGAGAATTTGGCCACATTCCTGCTCATGCCCCACTCTTGAAATACTAGGCCTGCAGCCCTCTGCAATTTGAGCAAAGAACATTTGAAACAACTAGAGAAAGTCCCACTTCGCAAGGTGGGTAATAAACTACGACATTTAGTGGAAGTCATATCCCTAAGAAAATGGGATTGGCAGAAACTGAGGATGGATTTGAGAAGGGTGTGAGATGTGGATGAAAGATGGAGCACAGCAAGCAGCCAGGCAGCGGCCCTGTCCATCAAGCCAGAGTCCAGGCTGCAGCAGACTCCAGGCAGAGACTCCCCAGCGGAGGCTGTGCCATCCTGCCCCCGGGCAGGGGACCCAAGGGACCCACTGAGAGTGGGAGGGAGGGAGCTGAGAAGGGACACGGCTGGGTAAAGACCCACTGGCAGAACTTTCTCCAAAGGCCATCTGCCAAAACAGCCAGCCATCCACATCCCCAAAGCGGAAATTCAGCTGTATTTGAGGACTGAAGAAATAGGCAGAGAAGGAAGAGGTCTCCAGCAGAAAGCTCCTTAGCCAGGGGATTTCGAGTGTGGCGCAAAAGGGACTTGACTCTCCCGGCAGCCTCCCAATTGCACAACTCTCTCTTTACCTAAGGGCATAAGCCAGAGCTGAAATGCGGGTCAGGGTAAAGGTCAAGCTCTGGGAAGCTGGGCGGGGCCTGCGGGAAGCATAGATATGGTCCCATAGGGAGGCAGAGGCTGCAACGGGGAGACCAGGGACTCCAGGGACTGGCCCATCCCAGACACATAGACTGGGAGAAGCCAGTTGTCCCCTGGAGGCACGCAACCACGGGCGCCCCCTCGGGCCGCCCAGCGCAGAAAGTTCCTTACCTGGTAGAGGCGGCTCCGGAGCCGACTTCTCCCTCCTGGGAGCTTTCTTGGGATTGGTGGCCTTCTTGGACGGCCTGGGCTCCTGCGGGCGCGGCTCCCACTTCTCCCCGGGCCCCGCAGGCAGCAGCGGAGAGAAGGACTCAAGCTCGGGCTCCTGGCGTGTGTAATAGGGCTCCCGGCTCCAGATCTCCTGCCCGTAATAATCGGGGTCCTCAAGGGCTGTGCCCTGGGCTCTGACCCCGGCCAGGGTCACTGCCAGGAGCACCAGAGCCAGCGCCAGGCCAGCGGTCCCCAGGCGGGACATGCCCGCTCCTCCCCACGCCCAGGCCAGGGTCACGGTCACCGGGAGCGCCGGGTGGGCTGCGGGCGCAGAGAGTGGCGCAGGGCAGGGGCGCAGGGCACAGCAGAGCGGTGGGCGGTGCGAGGGAGGCAGCCGGCCAGCGGCGCGTGTGACCGGCCCTCCGGGCTGGGCTGGGCTGGGCCGGGCCGGGGCGGACAGGCGGACAGGGGCGCGCGGAGGCGCGGGGCGGGCGCAGGGGGGGGCCGGCCCCGCCCTTCCTTCTTCCCTCCCTTTCCCGGCGACCCCGCCGAGGCAGGTCCTTGGAGGCAGATGTTCCAAGCAGCCAAGCCCAGGAAAGCCCCCTGCGCCCCACAGTCTGTCTCCAGCCCCCTTCCCCTCCCCCGCAGGCCTGGGGGCCTGCTGGGGGCCTGCTGGGCGCCTGCTTCCCCAGAGATGCTAATGAGTTTCAATCTTAGGAGAAAACATATTGAGGCCTGCTGTTCCATTCCTTTGTTTTACAGGTGGAGAAACGTGACCTGAGAGGAGAAAAGATTGGCCCGGGGTCCTAAAGTAAATCAGAGTCCAAGCAGCCTCCAGCTCTCAATGCCCTGCCCGTCTGCTGACCACCCTGCAGACATGGATTTCCCACTGGCCGTGCTTCTGTTTCAGGAACTGGGAATGAGGAATTCCTGAGGTTTCCCGGTTTTCGGGGAGTAAGTTTCCCTGGGAGTAGGGGCTAGGGACCCTGGAGGAGCCCTGCTCCCATCTGAGATTGTGATTCTGTTGGGTCTTGGGAAAGACAGTGACGTTACCCCAGGGCTGCCGTCCAGGGGTCACAAGAGGGTTTGTGGTTCATCCAAGAGCAGGCTCTTGCCCAGAGTGTCCTTTGAGAAAGGGCCTCCGACTTCAGACAACTCTGCATGGGTCCTTTATGTCGAGCCCAGGCCCATGGCCTGGAGGCTTCTGCTCTCCGGGCAGGGATGTGGGGAACCAGGGATTGCATGGTTTCCTTTGCTGCTGAAACAAACGATGACAAACTTAGTGGCTTCAGACAACTCCTGTCTCATATCTCTGCAGGTGAGAAGGCTGATGCAAGTGTCACCAGGCCAAAACCAAGGGGTTAGTAGGACCAGGTTCCTTAGGGGAGCCTCCAGGGAAAAGTCCACTTCTTCACTCACTCAGGTATTGGCTGAATTCAGTTCCTTGCGGTAGTAGGACTGAGGTGCTGTTCGCTTGCTGGCTGTGGGCTGAGGCACCTTTCTTCCTCCCAGCAGCCTGTTTCCCCTCCTGTCTTCTGCAGGTGCCTCCAGGCCTTTCCCTGGTCCTTGCACGTGGGCCTGGCATCTCAGAGCCAACACTGGCACAGCTTCAAATCTCTTCCCTTCCTGCCACATCTTTCTGCCTTTCAGCTAGAGAAAATCCTCTACTTTCTTAAGAGAGTGTGACTAGATGGGCTCGCCCAAAATATTTAGGATAGTCACCCTCTCTTAAGTGATGACCTTAACCACATTTGCAAAGTCCATTTTGCCATGTTCCCTAACTTTTTGCCAGGTTCCCTAACTGTCCCCTGTTCTAGATATTCAGGTATAGATGTCTTTGGGAAGCCATGAAGCATTTGACAGGGACAGACCCTCAACCCTGCATCGGCCTATGATCCAAGGATGCCACTAAGCTGAGTCAGGGCCTCACCATTGCCCTGGAGTGAGGACTTCCTCAGAGTGGGGGCTCCCGAGACTCCCACAGTGGTCAGGGCTTGGGCCAGGACAGCTCTCATTATCTTCCTGCACAGGCCACTCAACCAGGCCATCTTTCAGGTCAGTCTTCCAGGCTCCCAGTTTGAAGGCCACAGCAGAATGACTGGGAGAGGAAGAGGCTGCTGGTTGAGGGAGGTCCTGTCTGGGGGAGCCAGGAGGCCTTGGACCTGCCTGTCAAACCCCAGGATGCTCCAGAACCCAGAGCCAGCAGAAGTCTCCAGGGTGACAGGGCAGGAGGGTCCCCTTCCCCACCCACTACTCTCTGCTCCCCATCCCTTCCTGAATCCCCGCCCGCCGTCCTCCATTACCTATGCCCAGGGCTCACTCCAGACAGCAACACAGTCTTCAGTGGTGAAACGGAAAGCGCCTCCGGCAGCAAGCAACACACCCAGCGTTCCAGCAAGCTATATGAAGTGCTAACAGAGGCTGGCCTCGCATCCGGGCCAGAGGGGCTGCAGAGGCTGCCCAGGCAAGGACTGTGCCCTGCACCACCTCCCTCAGAACCTCCAGAGTTTGCTTAACAGCAGACAAACACCCAGGCTGCACCCCAGACCTTCAGATCTCCTAAAGACGGGGTTCAAGCACGAGCATATCTAAGAAGTTCCTTAAGTAATTCTGACAGAGTCCAAATTTAAGATGAATCTTCTTCCTCTCATTTTACACAGGATCCTGAGGCCCAGATTCACCCAAGGACACACAGCAAGTCAGTGATGGCCCAGACTAACCCTGCTCTTCTGACTTTAACCAATATTTAAAGTCGGGCTGTATACATCTCATGGCCCCAACCCATGAGTCCTGAAGACATTTTACTTCTTTTCAGCACCACTCAGGTGAGTAACTTAACATACACCTGCTCTGCAGTGTCTGGAAGTATCCAGAGAAGGCCCCACCCAAACATGCCTCTCAACACGTCCCTGGAATCAAGAAATGAACCCACTCATTACTGCTTTCCCTATTAATTCTTGCTTGTTTGTTTTCCCTGGAGAGGCCATAATTAAAGCAAGCAGAACAATTTAGAACAAGAATTGATTGCACTGATGCCAGGTCTCCCAACACAGCAGCCCACGGCACCATTCCTGAAGCGTCCTTTGTCTACCTCTGGCTCCCTCTCTCTGGTGCTGACTGTCCTGGAAATGTGCAGGGCACAGCCAGAGCTCATGAAGTTTAGGAAGATAGGGTTGCAAAGCTAACCTCATTTTCTTTATTTTTTTTTTTTTTTTTTTTTTTTTGAGACAGAGTTTCATTCTTGTTGCCCAGGCTGGAGTGCAATGGCGCGATCTCGGCTTACCTCAACCTCCGCCTCCTGGGTTCAGGCAATTCTCCTGCCTCAGCCTCCTGAGTAGCTGGGATTACAGGCACGCGCCACCATGGCCAGCTCATTTTTTGTTTTTTTAGTAGAGACGGGGTTTCACCATGTTGACCAGGATGGTCTCGATCTCTTGACCTCGTGATCCACCCGCCTCAGCCTCCCAAAGTGCTGGGATTACAGGCGTGAGCCACCGCGCCTGGCAAGACAGACTCTTAATGGCTTCCTGTACAGCACTGATAAGCTCTGTGATTAATATGCTAACTTTGCATCTTCCACAGAAACCAACAGAGTACAAGAAACACAGAAAATGTTTGGGCTTCCCTGAGACCCACTTACTCAACTCTAGCCCTGAAGTCCTGTAGAAGGACACGACTTCCTGCCAGCCTGAGCGTCCACTCATTAGTTTCTGGTGTGTCAATATCACAATCTTCCTCATCACTAATCTTGCCTAGAGTCTTTCATGGCATCAGCCAAAGAGTGCTTCTCTCTAGAACTTTTCTGTTCTCAGTCTAATAACGTGTCTGTTTAACTCAGGTCTGGAACCCTCAGCAAGGGCTGTGAGTCTCTCCGCAGAGTGTAAGTGCAGCTCCAGAAAGCACTGGCTCTCTCTGGATGTCAGCCAGGCTGTAAACCAGACACTGGAGTCGGGGGCAGCAATGGGGGCAAACTGGGAAACCAAAGTGGCAGTTCAGAAAGCCCCCCGGTTTCTGAGTTCTTCAAACGGTTCTTTAAAGCCAACCACTGTTTGCCTCGGTTGAGAATCTGCTAAGCGCACTTCTGCTAAGCCAAATAAGCCCGTGTTTGTCCCTTCATTCATTCCTCAGACAGGATCCTGCAAAGCCAGCTTCTGTTATGCACCATAAATCCATACTTGTCTAATAATCCTCAAAGACCTTACACGGCTAATCACTTTTCAAATATTTATGAGCCCCAGAGAGGAGATTTATGTTAAGCTGCTTGGCAAGGAACAATAGAGTGTACGGGCCTAGAGAACATTCTGTTGAAACAAATATTGTCAAGACATCAATATTTTTATAGCATTTTTCATAAGGGACTTTTCACACCTGCTCATTTCCCTAATTATCCCTGAGACTTTTACACTTTCAGAGAGAATGAAAATGGAATTTTTTTTGAAAGATCATTAATTTGAAAAATTAGCTGCTATATAAAGAAAAATACATACTCAGGCACAGCCATTACTAAAAATATAGTCTTGAGATGGATGCACAGGGAGAGAGATACTAAGTTGTTATGGCAACTATCATTCTAATTACAAAGCTGGAGGGTTTTTCTCATTCATTACTGTGTTGAGATGTGCTAGTTTAAATGGCAATGTCCTTTGTAATGTCCTCAATCTCATTACTACGTAATTACCCATTTCATATTTAATTTTCAGTATGTCTGTTCTTAGTCCCATGCCCTGTACATTTGGCATCTTTTGATAAGCCCTATTCTCAGTTCATGGGTCCCTTTTACAGCTTGATTCCTCTCCTTGCTATTCCCTCCACTCTGTGGTTTCATTTTCAATTTGACCTTTGGGACACTTGCTTTGGCCTGAGGTATTCCATTTGTAAACAGTGAGACGCTGTTGTGAAAGCTCTTAAGAAACGGCATGAACAGGCACCCGGGGAGACTCTGAGCACAGGATACATCGGAGCCTGCTGAGCAGCTTCGGAGACACTGCACTTCTCGGCAACCTACTATGTGCAGGATTATTTACGGAAGTGATCACATTTGACCTTTTTGCTGGGTTCTCTGTTCGCACTCCCTCTGGGCTCCAGCCCTCTGGGCTCTCCTCTGTATCTGGGAGGCTGATCCTTATAAATTAGTCCTCTTGTCCTTTGGTTGCTGATTGGGATTGACCAATGGAGATAGGAAGATGAGAAGGGGCTCTGGGTATTTCCTCCCCTTTCCCCACACTTCCATGCCCCCCACGCACTTTGGTCTCAGGGGTGGTGGCTACATCTTTGGGCTTCCCTGAGACCCACTTACTCAACTCTAGCCCTTAAGTCCTATGGAAGGACACGACTTGCTGCCAGCCTGAGCCTCCACTCATTAGTTTCTGGTGCGTCAATATCACAGTTTGTCTCTACAGCCCTGCCCATACCTCTGCACTTCATTCAATGCACCTGTCATCTGTGTATGCATCTATTTCCTGCCGGGTCCCTGACTGATTCCATCCTCCCAAAGCCTTGTGAAGGGAGAATAGCTCCTTCTATCTTACAGTTGAGGAAGTGGCTAAGTCTCTTGCTGAAGGTCATGTAATTAACAAGCGATTGAGTCAGTTGAACCCCCAACTGTTTTGCTCCAAAATTTCTGCCTCCATCACTCATGCTATAGTCTCAGGATAAAGGGAACTGTGGCCCATCAGGTGACCCGAGATGTGCTTGGGCAGAGTGGCATAGTGTGTCAGGGTGCAGTGTGGGCACCCTGGGGTGGTCATGGGTGGGGGTGGCTTTAGCCTCCAATAAATCTCAAGCCCCTCCATCCATCGAGAGTGCTCAAGGTCTAAGTTCTTTAAATACAGACATTCTGGAGCTGCTCCTGTGGTCACTTAATGCATGAAGCCTAAAAGACAAGAAGCCATCATCTCCATGGAGTTGAGATTTGCATGAAGAGGAACTCAATGTGAGAAGCCAAGAAGCAAAGCAGAGGAAGATGCTGCCCCAGCCCCCAGCCCCCCACCCATCACTGCCACATGGGTGAGGCTGCCATGCTCTGGCCCAGAATCAGAAGCAAGGGTTTGGAAGGTCTGAGCTCAGTCATCTCTCTTCCTTTCCTCTCAGTCAGGGTACAGGGCTCTCTGAAACAGCAATGCCAAATGCAGGTGGTCCACATACTCTCTGAGGCCCCAGGGCTGGGAGAGACCTCCCATACCTGTAGTCCACTGTCAGGCAATCGGACCCCAAATCAGGGGTCTCACTGATGTTTCTGCAAGAGAACATCTCTGCCTCTCCCCACCATACAAGAGACACTGAAGTTGGGAGGATAGAGACTAAAAATACAATAAACTATTATAAACTTAATGACTTTGAAAATCTGATGAATACCTAGAAAAATATAAAATGCTAGAGCTGACACAAAAATAGGGAACCTGAATAGACCAATAATATTAAATAAATTAAAATGGGAGTCAACCAATCTTTATTTTTAAAAAGCTCTAAACCAGGTGCAATAACACACACCTATAGTCCCAACTACTTGAGAGGCTGAGGCAAGAAGATTGCATACGCCCAGGAGTTTGAGGCTGCGGTGCTCTATAAGCACGCCTGTGAATAGCCACTGCGCTCCACCTGAGCAACACAGTGAGACCTTGTCTCAAAATAATTTTTTTTAATTGGCCAGGAGTGATGGTGTGCACCTGGTCTTAGCTCCTTGGGAGGCTGAGACAGGAGGATTGCTTGGGCCCAGGAGCTTCAGGTTATAGTGAGCTATAATTACACCACTGCAATCCAGCCTGGGCAGCAGAGTGAGACCCTGTCCCAAAGGAAAAAAAAAAGTTCCAGATCATTTTTCAGTTTTCCAGTTGAATTTCCTAAGCTTTTTAAAAAGCTGATATTCCCACCTTATAGAAAGTAATTTTTTTTCTTTTTTGAGATGGAGTTTTACTCTTGTTGCCCAGGGTCAATCATGTGGTGCAACTTCCACCTCTCAGGTTCAAGTGATTCTCCTGCCTCAGTCTCCCAAGCAGTTGGGATTATAGACATGTACCACCATACCTGGCTAATTTTTTGTTTTTTTTTTAATAGTACAGATGGGTTTTCACCACATTGGCCAGGCTGGTTTTGAGCTCCTGACCTCAGGTGATCCTCAAGTCTCAGCCTCCCAAAGTAATGGAATTACTGGCACAAGCCACCGTACCCAGCCTGAAAGTTTTCTTTTACAGAAAATAGAAAAAGAGGGGAATTTACTTTGATAATTTTATTATGCTAATGTAATCTTAATTCAAAAACCAGAGAATGAAATTATTAAAAAGGAATATAAAATATTTATTTCATTATAAATATAGACATCAAAAATCTTAAGTCAAATATTAGCTAATTGAATTTTATTTTTAAAATACATAAAGTATAATTAAGTAGGCTTTATTTCAGGAATACAGAAATGGTTCAACAGTAGAAAATCTACCTATATAATTTATCCTATCAACAGATCAAAAGAAAAAAGTTGTGTGATTATCTAAATCAATGAATTATCTGAATTAGAAAAGCAGTTCATAAAATATAGCATCTGTTTGAAGATGTCCTGTACGAATGGCAAGATATCTATGCCCTTGCCTGGGGCAAATGGAATCAAAGATTCAAGTCTGGCTGGGCATGGTGGCTCAGCCCTCTAATCCTAGCACTTTGAGAGGCTAAGGTGAGAGGATCACTTGAGCCCAGAAATTCAAGAACAGCCTGGACAACACAGTGAAAACTTGTGTCTATAAAAATAAAAATGGAATAGTGGCATTTGCCTATAGTCCTAGCTTCTCAGGAGACTAAGGTGGGAGGATTGCTTGAGCCTGGGAGGTCAAGGCTGCAGTGAACCAAGATTACACTATTGCACTCCAGCCTGGGCAACAGAGCAAGACCCTGTCTCAGAAAAAAATACTTAATTCTTCCTTAACAGATTAATCTGTAAGTAATTATAAGGAAAAATAAATTTTATGCCAAAAACTTCCTGTTCAATTATTTGAGGAACCAAATAAACATACTCTAAAACATAGAGAGAAGTAAAATTTCTTCAAATAACTAAAATAGTCTTTACTTACCCAAATAAGTATTAAGGTACATTACAAAGCCAGAGAGAGAAAGAGGGAAGGAAGGGAGGAAGGGAGGGAGGGAAGGAGAGAAGGGAGGGAGGGAAGAAGAGAAGGGAAGGAGGGAGGGAAGGAGGAGGGAAAGAAGGGAGGACTTAGGCACAAAAATAAACCATTGTTCAATGCAAGAAAAGAGAGAGCTTAGGTACAGACATATGTAATATTTAGGGAACAATACATAATATGAGGATGTTACACATCAAGGTGGATTCTTTACCATGTGGCCTTGGGAAACTTGCCTCTCTATATGGGAAAAACTAAAACTGGATCCTTACCACACATGAAAGTGGACTCCAAATGGATTAAAGAACTAAATGTGAAAAGTGAAACCATAACAATAATAGAAAGTGTATAAACATATCTTTGTAACCTAGAGATGGGAAAAAACTTGTTAAATAAAAACCTCAGAAGCACAAACCATAAGGCAAAAATAAGAAGAGGAGGAATTAATGAGGTTACTTCTATCATGATAAAGGATTCATGTTCTACAAAGAACACACTTAACAAAATGAACAGGCAGATAACATATTGGGAGACAATACCTACAATGTGTAACAAAAAAACATATTTTTGAGAAGGAGTCTCCCCCTGTTACCCAGGCTAGAATGCAGTGATGTGATCTCAACTCACTGCAACCTTGACCTCCCAGGTTCAAGTGATTCTCCTGCCTCAGCCTCCCTAGTAGCTGAGATTACAGGAACCTGCCACCATGCCCAGCTAATTTTTGCATGTTTAGTAGAGATGCAGTTTCACAATGTTGGCCAGGTCTCAAACTTCTGGGCTCAAGTGATCTGCCCACCTTGGCCTCCCAAACTGCTGGGATTACAGGCATGAGCCCCCACGCCCAGCCAAAAAAGTAATATCCATGATACATAAGGAAGAAAGAGAGGAGCTCTAATAGGAAAACGGGCAAAAGCTATGAACAGGCTATTTACAGAAGAGGAAACTCAAAAGGTTAACTACATATAAAGAAATGCTCAAAGCCATTAGTAATCAGAGTAATACAAATTTAAATGAAGAGGTGTCATCTGATAACTATAAGGTGGGCAAAAATCAGAAAGTTGGATGGTGTCAAGTATTGGCGATGGTGTGGAGTTCTGGGGCACTCCAGCACTGCTGGTGAGGATTCAGATGGATACTGCCCATTTGGAGAGCAGACACATGCTCCTGACATTCCCAAAACGTGTCTGTCATACCTGAAGGTGCATTATTTATATAAAAGAAGACATAAAAGATTATGAGTCCAATGAAAATAAATGTAACTGAGAAGGATTTTTATATTAAAATGCTTGCGCCCATAAAGAATATTACATTAACCCAGGACACAAGTCACTGAAACAATTTCTACATCTTGCCATTTGAAAAAGGAAGACTTGGCACGACTAACCTAACAGATTTTTTTTTCTTTTCTAGTGAATTGAATGAATCAATCCATTTTTATGGCATTTCATTCTAGAGTCAGCCCACACTAATTATCTGGTAAAGAGGATTAACATTTTATTCTTATATAATTTTCTGATTGCTTTTAGGGAGTAAGAGACATAAAGAATAAGCAAAAAAAAATGCAATGTATTAAAAGCATTTCTCATATGTCCTTTTGCCCTCCAGGGACTTTGTAATATAAATACCCTTATATGGGAAGAAACATAGATCACTAATTCTCAAGCTGCAATTACCTGAGATCATAACACTGAACATACATCAAAGCAGAGGCACAGTGGTTTAAATCCAATTGAATTACATCTATCTTTAGGGGCACAATCAGGAAGTACAGTTTAAAAAAGAGAGCCTTGGCATCATTCCTTCACACCTGGGCTTCACTGACTAGCTTCACTTGTAAATCACATGCTGAGACTCAGTGTGTTTTTCCAGGGCTGAGGCATAGCAGAGAAGGAGCTCCTGGGAGCAGCAAACACCTTGTTTTCCTTCCACTCAAGCAAGTTTTGTGGGGCTTTTTCCCCTGTGCAGATGAAGGCAAGTTTTCACATTGAATTACAAACTTGGTAGCTAAGAAACCATTCCTATTTCTGAGGTTAACTTTCAAGTTCAAACATTTGATGCTTTGGGTGTTGTGAACAAACGTGAACCTGAAAAAGCCAATCTTTCAAGATGGATCACCATTGGCTAACTCAGCCAAAATTTAAAATACAGCCAAGCGGCCCTTTACTGAGTAGAGAGGTCACAGGCATAACTTTGAATTCCTGAAAAACCAACACCTCTGTTTAACTTTGGGACTTTCAGAGCACACCTGAACCAACCAATCAGAGTTCACCTGCTTGTGCCAATCAGAGATCAGCTGTATCAAACAATCAAGGCTCAGCTGTATTGACCAATCAGGGCCCAGTTGTATCAACCAATCAGAACTCAGCTGCACCGGAGGTAAGCGAGGTTGAATTTTTCATTTCCATAAATTGCCAACTGTTCACTGGAATGAAGTCTCTTTCCTCCCAACTTCCTTCCAGAGAACTTTTGTGCAGAGTATCCCACCCAAGTAACCACTGTCACAACCTCGATAAAATGTGTAAATATTTTTTCAAACTATAGTGGATAAATAGCATTTTTGTTCTAATAGGGGGTGAAGGGTGTTAAATATGGAAGTGTTTAAATTTTATATTTCAGTAAAGAGCCTCTAAATGGAGTTATCTGAACCTGGAGCGGGCCGGGCAGGTCATGCAGCTCACAGGCAGCCTACCCAGGCGAGTAATCTGACATGGGTCTGAGCACCTGCCTTTCCTATGCTTCCGGCACTAGCTGTGCAGCCTGGAGCAGGGACTGACCTCACCAACTTAGCCTTAGTTTACACATCTGTAAAGTGGGGAAATCCTGTCCTAACCTAATAGAGGATTATGGTGAGAATGTAATAAAATAATGCATGTAACAGCTTAGAGTAAACCTTGGTTTATAGTGTCTTAGTCCATTAGGGCTGCTGTAACAGAATACTATAATCCAGGGGGCCTATGAATAACAGAAATTCATTTCTCACAGTTCCGGAGGCTGGAAGTCCCAAGAGCAAGATGCTGGCAGATTCACAGTCTAGTGAGGTCCCATTTTATAGACAGCAGCTCCTCCCTGTGTCCTCATATACTGGAAGAAGCACACAGGCACTCTTGGGCCTCTTTATAAGGGCACTAATCCCATTCACTCGGGCTCCTCCCTCATGACTTAATCACCTCACCCAGAGCCCCATCTAATATCATTGCCTTGGGGGTGAGGATTTCAACATACGAATTTGACAGGGGAAACACAAACATTCAGACAGTGACACTGAGGAAAGGCTCGCAGCTGTTGGCATTCTTCATGACGATCTTAGCCTGTCAGTGTAAAGCACGTGCTCATCACTGCCTGAAGAAGAAAGGCCACCTCCCCACCGTGCCCTTTCATTCTTTCCTTGTCAATTCCCTGCCTTTGCAGACACAGTTGCTACCACCTGGAATGCTCCCTGGCCCTTCCTTTTACAGCAAACACCTACTTGCATATCAAAGCACAACTCTAACACCTCTTCCTAGGGAAGCCCTCCATGATTGCAGCAGGTGAGGTCCTGTGTCCCTGTCGCCAGGCTCCCACAGCTCCCCTAATGTGCTTTCACAGCTTTAACAACCTTGTCCTAGGCATACAGCACAGAGGACCTTGTCCTGGGCATAGGACACAGAGGGATCCTGGCTACCCAATTACCACCTCCAGGGCTGTTGGCATCCCTCTTGCATGCAGAAGGTGCTCAGTAAGTGCTGGTTGGAGTTGGATGGCTGGATGAAAAGACCTTAGGAGCAGGATGCAGTCTGATTCCTCTCTGCATCCTCCTCAGAGCCTATCCCAGTGCTTGGCACACAGTAGGTGCTCAATAGACAGTCATCCACTGAAACTGACTTCCAAAATGCACATGGCCTGGACTGCATTTCCTCTGATTGTCCTCTCCTGGCCTCTGGCTCAGCTAAGGCTTGGGGTACCCACCTGTCCTGTCCTACCACCTTTGCCATCTCCACCCAGTCCTTAGGTCCCTGCCTTAACATGAAGTCCTTGGAGGGATAGGGGAAGAGGACTCATTCCTGTAAGTTCAGGGCATGCTTCTTCCTTATCTCACACCAGTGGAGCCCTGAGGCTGGGAGGCCGAGGGGCTTTGTAATATGCAGAGAGCGTTCCCCGGTTGGCACAGCCACTTGAAATTTTACAAAAGGTCTCATTCTCAATGGAGGAAAAAGTGGAGCCAAACCAATTAACTTTTTAAACAGCTGAGAGATTCAAATGAAGCAAGGTTTCCCAGGCATAGCTGTAGCCTGACAGAAACAGGAGATGTGCTGGGGAAAGCTGTCAGCCTCTGACATGGGTTTTGCTGGCCAAGATTTGAGCCCCTCCTGCCAGTCCACACGCGGCCCCAGCTATGTGAGTTCACTCCACCTCCTCCGATGCAAATCTCAGCTCCCTCTTTGGAGAAAAACATAGATGAGCCTTAGGAAGTGAAATGAAAATAGGCTAACAATTAAAAGCAATATACCATTTTTTATTCAAATGAAACATTGCCAGTTATTTGTTATACAAATAAAATCTCTTATCCTTCCGATCTCAGCTTAAATGTCACTTCCTCAGAGAGACCTTTCTGGAAAATTCTGTCTCAAGCAGAACTTATCCCTCTTCCCCCTTTCCTGGCTCTGCAGTCTGTTCTTTCCCTTTGGGGAAGACACTCCACTGGGCCACTTTTTTCTGATTGTGCTGATGTTTGAGTAAGGGACAGGCGGGCACAGTGGGTAAGACGGTGGACCCCACAGTCAGGTTCCAGCTCAGCTGTGTCCCTGTCGCCAGGCTCCCACAGCTCCCCTAATGTGCTTT